AAAAAAAAAGAAACTGTCCAGATGACCTGACTGAAAAATGTTGGATTAAATTTACATTATTTTGTTAAACCAAAACAATTCAACTGTCCCTGACCTTAACATGATTACAGGACTGGACCATTCATAGCAGGTCTATGCAAGCTTTTAGTAAAAGTTAACTTCCCTTGTTAAATGAAAATAAGCACAAATAAACAATAATTACACATAAGTCTAACTCTTAATGTGGCTCTTGCTAAGTCACGTCCTTGATAAACCCCAAGAAAACACGCAGAGAACCTCAAAAGCGATGACTCGAGCCCATACTGTTTTATAATGGAAGTCAAAGAGAGGGCCTGACACCCGGGAGGGAGGAACAAACTGTGGACACACACAATACAACTATAAATGAAATATTAAGCAACGTAACCGGTTATTTTTATTATTATTTTTCAGAGAAAATATAGCGCAATTTGTAAAAATTTGTGTTGACATGCAGGAAATTGTCCGGCCCACTTCTTCACATTTTCGCTCAGAAGCAGTGGATTCAAACTTTCACAGTCGTTACCCCGCCTTCCTCTCTGCACCATGGCCCCTGAATCTGCTTAATGCAGCACCAGGACGTTCGCAGACTCGGTCTGTGCGCTCGGAAACATGAGCGGGGACAGATATTCAGAGTCCGGGGCGGCGCGGCAGGCCGCTGTATAAGAACGGGAAGAGACCGCGGTCAGTGCGCTTCGAGTTCTGAGACTTAGGTGGGGAGCATGTGAGAGGTGGGGGGTAATGGACGAATGGAAGCAGGATTATTCAGCTCAGCAGAGAGCCGCCGGAGGGACGCTGGAAAGAAGGTAACAGAGCTCACACCGTGTTGGTGACAGAAATGTTCAGGAATTCTTCATGTTTCGGAGCAGAATGTGGATCAAACGGACTGTTGGAGCCGCTTTATCCTGGATGAACACAGGGCTGTGAACGTAACGTTTAGCTCGGACGTTGAACGCACCGCAGTGTGATATTTTTTTTTAACAATATTTATTTATACAAAATAAGTACAAAAATTCTTGCAACAGCAAACATGGGTCGAGAGAATATAGAAATAGACGCAAATAAAAATGAAAATGTGATTTGTGCACGTTACAGTAGAAAATCATTTTTAGTCTTTAAGGCGTTTGCATTGGTACAGGAATTTAAAGTGGACAGTTAAGAAGAAATATAAGTTTGAAAAAAACTGTAAATCTGGGTTTTATTATGGGAAATTTACAGCTGTGGATATGAAATCTGACAAATATTAGTATAAAGTTTACAACAAAAAAAGTCTTCCTCTGAATATTCAAACAGAAGAAACCAAACTGTTTTAGAGTTAAATGGTAGCTCCTAAGTTTGTGTTCACAAACAAGAAAGTGTGTTTCCAGAACAAGTGAGTATAAGTCCCAGAGAAGATGGTGATGGTCTCAGAGCGAACACATTCGCTCTACATTTGCACCATGCCTGGAGATTATTGACAGGATAGCATTTCTGCAGACTCTTTAGGAACATTTCTCAAATGTTATTAGTTATGAAATATTTTCTACAGAGTGATGTTCTATTTAAGGATGTATCCAGTCCACGTGTCACGCTGACAGAAACAATAAACAAATGAATGTTGAACTAAAGAAAATCAATGAGTTTGAGGTTTGGATAAAAGTTTCAGATAATTGAAGCTTTGATTATTTAGATTATTTATGGTCACTAAAGCTAAACATTTAGGAAAGGTTTGTTTAAATGTGCTTTGGCTTTAAGTGACATATCTGCTGTTTTATGTGTTTTTTACCAAGTGGTTGTTCTATTTTGCCCCTCAGGAGACACTCGGAGACCCTCTGAGCAGTCGCTGGACATTACTGACTCTGTGCTCCGGAGAGAGAACAATCCAAAGATGAACAGCATCTTGTTCAACAAGCTGAGCAGCCAGGTCCTGTTTGAGGAGAAGGCCAAAGAGGTGGAAATGAGCAGCAAAAATTACCTGGAAGTCATTGATGGAGAACATCCAGACCTGCTGTCCAGCAGCCCGAGCTTCAGAGACAAGCAGGAGATGAGACAGAGGTATGTGGGGCTTTCTATTGGGTCACAGTGTGTGTGTGTGTGTGTTTGTGTGTGTGTTTTTGTGTGTGTGTGTGGGGGGGTACTTCAGAGGAACCATGTGGACCTATTTCCATCTGGCTCTCACTCTGAGTCAAAAACAGCTCAGGCCAAATGAAAGGAGCAAATATAATTTCTAACATTAGAAACCGCTTTTCTCTGTCCCAGTAAAACAAAATCCTCAAGTTTTCATCACAACATTATAAATGTCATTAAAAAATATTCTCCAGCTGTAGTTAAAATCACAACGTGTGCCAGAAGTTCTCTGGAAGTTTGTTCAAGTCTGTTTTTTCTGCAGAGCTTTTGAATAAATTAAGAATATGTATTTCTGCTCTTGTTGGTTTTGACACCTGATGTGAGTATTAATGATCAGCTCAGACGGGTCAGTAGGCGCTGATTATAAATAACAATTAATAATAAGCTAATTAATAATTAAACTGATTAATAATCAGTTCAGTAGGCACTAATTATAAATAATAGTTAATAATCAGTTAATTAATAATTAAACTTGTTGATAATCAGTTCAGTAGGCGCTGATTATAAATAATAATTAATAATCGGTTAATTAATAATCAGTTCAGTAGGCGTTGATTATAAACAATAATTAACCAGTTAATTAATAATTAAACTGATTAATAATCAGTTCAGTAGGCGTTGATTATAAACAATAATTAATCAGTTAATTAATAATTAAACTGATTAATAATCAGTTCAGTAGGCACTGATTATAAATAATAATTAATAATCAGTTAATTAATAATTAAACTTATTAATAATCAGTTCAGTAGGCGCTGATTATAAATAATAATTAATAATCAGTTAATTATTAATAAAATTGATCAATAATCAGTTCAGTAGGCGCTGATTATGAATAATAATTAATAATCAGTTCATTAATAATTAAACTGATTAATAATCAGTTCAGTAGGTGCTGATTATAAATAATAATTAATAATCAGTTAATTAATAATTAAACTTATTAATAATCAGTTCAGTAGGTGCTGATTATAAATAATAATTAACAATCAGTTAAATAATAATAAAACGGATTAATAATCAGTTTAGTAGGTGCTGATTATAAATAATAATTAATAATCAGTTAAATTAAATTGATCACATTCATACACTGATGGGACACACATCAGAGGCATTTAGAGTTTCAGTGTCTTGCCCAGGGACACTTTGACATGTGACTGCTGGTGGAATCGAACCCCCAACTCTCGTTTTGGAGGATGACTGCTCTAACCACTCAGCCACAGCCGCAATAATTAATAATCAGTTAATTAATAGTAAAACTGATTATCAGTTCAGTAGGTGCTGATTATAAATAGTAATTAATAATAAAATTGATTAATTATCTGTTCTGTGGGTGCTGATTATAAATTATAATTAATAATCAGTTAATTAATGATAAAACTGATTAATAATCAGTTCAGAAGGTGCTCCTTTAGTGCTTTCAATCTGTTTCAACTCAAAGTAGTCTAATCTTCAGCTCCGTCTGCTCGGGTTCCCAAGGTCGGAGTCCCACAGGGCTCCTGAAATTATCTCCAGAATTCAGATACAATTGAAACATTAACCCTAAGATTATGTTGATTATCTTTGTAACAATATAAAAAAATAATTCTTTACATATAAGAATGTTGGCTTCCTATGGTTTCATTTTTTTAATCAGATTAAAATAATTCAACACTGATCTTTGGGCTCATCAGTCTCTGCCAGAGTTTTCTGATGGGTCAGAAGCTGAGAGGTTCAGGAAGCGTTGCTGGAGTTCCTTTCAAACTTCTTTTATTTAGTTGTGTGCAACAGGAAGCAGGTGGAGGACCATGTTGTCTTCTTCATTTGGCAGGAGAGAAAAAACTTCATAGAGCCTCAGATCAGACGCTCAGAAAGGTTCATAGGAAAATGTTTGTAGAACTTGAACCTCAGGCAGACTTGAGGTTCAGCTTCAACATGCTACATCTGCAGTCGGGGGCACCATACTGACATCTACAGGTTCTTCAGGTGGGACCGAACTTGAACCAGAATAAGCTGATGATTCTTTTAGAGACTTTTAACAAAGAATGACTGAAAGGTTCCTTCAGGAACTCAACATATATGTCAAATCACAGTCCTGCAGTTACAACTGAAAACATTTGGATCTTCACAAACATCCCTGCTAGGATTCTTTTCAAAGCAGTCATGTCGGTTGATCTTTGTCTCGGCTGTAACGGAGTTCCTGCTCTGACAGAAACAGTTCCTGAGCACAAAGTTTGAGTTCCTTCTCAAAGTGTTGGTGGACCTCATGATTGAACAGAACTGGTCAGTTCTTCTCTCTGTCCGCCTCCCTTCTTCCTGTCGTTCTTCTTCTCCAGTGGAAACAGTTGCTGCGTTTGATGAGAAGAATGCGTCGTGTTCACGTGTTTCTGTCAGCCTGCTGCTCTTCTCGTCCTGTTCAGCTCGTTCCATCAGGAAATGATCAGCTGTGAAACGTTTGACTCACTTTGAACAGAACGTTTTAACGTGAACTCCACCAAATGTTGGTCTCTTATAAGGAGAAGAATTTTTACTCATCATGTGTTTAAATAATTAGTAATTAATTAATTGTAATTTGTCAGTCCAGAGTGGCATATTTCCAGAAAAAATGAAATTAACAAAAGCAATTCCAATATTGAAAAATGGTGATAGACCTAGCTCTGACGATTAAGAACGATCTTAGTTCTCCCCCAGTTTTCCAAAGTGCTTGAAAAATGGTTTGTCTAGAAATTTGATGGTTTTATTGAACATAATAACTTGTTGGGTGAGAGTCAGTATGGATTTAGATCAAATAACTCAACATCCCTTGCATTATTAGAAGTAAATGAAGAAATTACAGAAGCAATAGAAAGGAAGCAATATACAGTGGGGATGCTTATTGATTTAAGAACAGCCTTTGATACAATCAACCACACTTTATTGCTTTCCAAATTACAAGATTAATCAGAGGAATAGTTCATAACTGGTTGAGTAGTTATCTGACTAACCATAAACAAGTACAGCTAGGAAATAAATGGTAAATGGTAAATATACTGTACTTATATAGCGCCTTTCTATCTTGTCAACACACTCAAAGCTCTTTACACTATTCTATTCAATTCAGTTTATTTATATAGCGCCAAATCACAACAAAGTTGATTCAGGGCACTTTACAGAAACATTCACATACAAAGTACATAAAAGCCAATTAGTAAAGTTCTCTGTCTAAGGAGGCCAGCAGACAAGTTGAATCTTGGCTTTGTTGCAGTCTCCCATCCTGAGCAAGCACAGTGGCAACAGTGGAAAGGAAAAACTCAATTTTAAAAGGAAGAAACCTCCAGCAGAACCAGGCTCAGGACAAGCAGCCATCTGCTTTGACTAGGGCTGGATACCTTTCTAAAAATATCTGTATCGGTACCGGTGTCGGTACCTTCACTTCGGTGTCGGTTCCTGGACGGTTCTTTTTTTGGTAACAATTTTGTAATTAATATTAATTCTAACAATAATAAAATTATGTTACACATTACAGTACATATTGTGAATTTTATTTTTTAACTTTGGTATTTTTATTCCAAGCAGTTTTCTTACATTAAAATAAATAATTTCCAGTTCAAAAGAACAGTTGCAAACAACAAGTGACACGTCAGTGTCTAATGCTCACTGCTACACACTGAGGACCTTTTCACTGAACAGTTTTTCTTCAGAAACAACATGTCTGCTTTCTGTGGACACAAACAAGCCCACTCCAGGCTGTTGGTGTCTCCAGCAGTAGGAAGTGTTCACTCTGAGGCTGTAGATGATGATTGTTGCACACACAGATACCTGGTTGTCAGTTTGATAGCACTGACATATTGCCCCTCACGAGAGCGGTGAGCATGTCCATAGATGCCAATTTAATTACCAGTCTACATATATGTATGTGTCTTATCTCACTCAGCCTTATAACCTGAATCTCTCACTTACTGCTCATTGAATTGAGAAAGCTCCTCGGATGAGGAGCGAAACGTCTTCTGTTACAAAAAAAGTCCAGTTGTTTTTTTGTATTGAACGCTTTTTGAATGTCCATAGATGCTCTCGAGGTTACTATAAGAGTTCTGATAAGGACAGAATTATCAGCCAGTGTCCTCCAGTGAGATCCATAAACATTCTCGAGGGATGTTGGGGAATGGCCAAGAATAACGTCTATGAGAATCCAAGAGTCCTGAAACGATGACACAAAGTTTATTCAGCTGGTTTCATCTGGCTATCAGTTGGAAATTCCTCAGGGAGGGGGTGGTGAGCGTCAGATCACATGTTCTCCAGGCGAATTCAGATAAGATGGCCTTCCAAGGCCAGCCAAGGGAGCCAAATTCAATTAAACACACAGTTGTTTTGGGGACAGGCAGAACTTAATGACATCTACCTTGAGTCTGTGTTGGTCCACTCGGTTTCGAAATGTCAAAATTGCATGGCCACACTAATGGAACGTGACTGAGCAAAATCCCCGAGATCTGATCCATTCTGCTCAAAGCATTTGAGTCTGGGTACTCGAGGCACGAACCAAGTCATCATAAAGGCAAGCAGCGTGATCGGGTCCAAATTTGCTGCCGACGACTTCCTTGATTGTAGATAAAACCAGCAACCAGCCGAATCCAAAAAGTAGGAACCAGTTATCGTAAATCCAATTAAATATGCGTCCTTAACAATGCCCCAAAGACCCATCTTTGCCTGATGCCCTCAACAAGTTCTATGCACGCTTTGAAGACCCGAACAGACCACCCAGCACCAGACTCACCTCGCCACCGGATGAAGAGCATCTCAGCGTGACCTCAGCAGAAGTAAGGAGTACCTTCAGGAGGATTAATCCGCACAAAGCAACTGGCCCAGACAACATCCCCGGAAAAGTGTTGAAGGAATGTGCTGATCAGCTCTGTGAGGTGCTGGCAGACATCTTTAACACCTCACTTACCCTGGAGACAGTTCCCACCTGCCTG